TGGATAATGATGGGAGCGAATGTCCAAGCCATTTTGGCCAATTAAGTGATGAAGGAAAAGCCTAAAAGAAGACTTTAGTCTAACTAAAGGAGCCCTTGTGGTTATTTGTTGGGCTGCTAACCACAAGGTCAGCCATTCGAAACCACCAGCCACTGGTAGGAGAAAGATAAGACTTTCTGTTCCCGTACAGCGTTACAGTGTTCCAGGTGCACCAGGCAGTTTCACCCTACTCATGGGGTCGCCATGGGTCAGAACAGACTGCATGGCAGGTGGTTTGGTTTTTGAGTCAACCTAAATCTTGTGGCTCACCAAGTCCCTGGAATAAGCTTCCTGGATATGAACCAAACCTGCTTACCCAATGCAGTTGTCCGTTTTTCCAATGTGCCTTGTTGTAGATTTGTTTCCTTATCTTCAAATAAACAGAATTGTTATTGGTCCCACATACCATTGAAATAAGCGGATATAAACAGTTCCTCATTTCTACAAAATGAAAAAAGCCTCACAAGGGTCGAATGACTATATTGGCATGCTTGATTAATGATAGAAACTCAAGCTAACCCAATTCAGCTCAAGCCTCTCTTCCTTTACAGAGTCTTTCTTGGCCATATTACCTATAGCAACCTTATTGCCCTTCTTTTTTCTCGAACTTTCTTTTCTTCCAATAATAAAAATAAGTGGTACTCTGTAAGTGTGTATAAATCCTTCTCTTGGATTATCTCACTTAATCCACTCAACATGGAAGATTGTTGAAGTGATACCAAAAGACTAACAAACTCTATTCAAAGTCTATAATTACTCAGAGACCAAGTGGGGCTATGACCCAGTCTGATTCTCAATCCCATGTTATTGGCCACTTTACTACACAATCTCCTATGCTCTTATCTAAAGCATAGTGTCTGCATATAGTGAGTATTCGATAAATGGTTGTTCTTATTATAACTTTCATTGTCTTTGCAGGCTTCTCCCAAAACTCACTGCCACCGAATCAATTCTGACTCATAGTGACATAAGAATATCTTCTAATTTATTCTAAGTAGGGCACAACACAACAATGTCTGAGAAGTGTTTAGCAGATGTTCACCTGCTGTTATTAAATTTGATCTCTTAATTTGGCCCTAAGTAGGAGTCTTATGAGCAGTATTCATAAATTTTTCAGTCTTATAATTGTACCAATTATTTCAATTATTGGGGTATTTTTGTAACTGGTACCAGCAAAATATATAGGATGGATTCTCTCAAAGGCATTCTCAGATTCTCACACTAATTTTATCATAAAATTTTCCAACCATTTTTAATATTGATTAATGAAGTACTGTAGGTATAATTTTATCATCTAGAATGAAATTAAGGTTAAAATTGAAGTACATTAGAACATTGGCTGCATTGAAACACACACACACACACACACACACACATGCACACATACACTTCAAGGTTTATCAGCTTTGAAAATGTTTCCCATCCTGTCCTTGTCATCTACTACCTAGAAAAATGTCCTCAG